TGAGGCAGTATCCCTACAGAAGTAGATTGCCCAACCTTCCTTCCGAGGAGTAGCTGGTGGGTTTGAACTGCCAGCCTTCATATATATATATATATATGTATATACATATAATTTTATCTAGTCTTCTAGTTGCTCTTGCCAGCAAGTTTGTGGTGATGCAAACTAGTCCATTTCTGTCATTAGTCTTACTCATTGATATTTTAAAGCCTTTAATTAATAATTATATGCACATTAAAAAGATAACAGGCTTTTTTGTGGCTACAAATGATATGACATTTATTACAAGGTAGTATATATAAGTGCAAATATGAGTCATATTAATCAGGTTATTATGAGATATTTGAGTGAAAAAGGACCCCAGGAATGAGAAAATCTTACAATTTTGCACATAGGTCATGAGTAACTTTCTTTGATTTCTGTATAAGACATCCTCTTCCCTTTTATAATGTCTACATGTACGGCTGAAGAAAAGACAAAATAGCTCAATGTATGCTTAAGAGAATTTAATCATCTTAGATCTAGCAATACAGAAATGGGAAGAGATCAAGTCATTAACTTTCTCAGTAATCAGCAGGCTAGCACGATAACATGCAATCATACCCTCCCTCTTGCTTGGTAGGGTGCTATGTTACCTAAAATACTTTTTTTTTTTTTTTGGTCAGATTTACAATCACCCTTTGAGATCAACAGAGAAGATTCTTCCTTCCTTCCTTTCTTCTTCTTCCTTTTTAGGTCTCTCTCCCTTCCTCCCTCTCTTCCTTCCTTAATTCTTTCTTATTGTTTTTGCCCACTTTATAGATAAGAAAAACAAGTCATAGAGAAATAAAATAAATATTCCAATATAGGTTGGCTATTGAGTTTCAGAAGTGAGACTTCAACTCATATTTTTAGGCATATTTCTGCTATACCATGTTACTTCATTTAGAGAGTTAGAGAAAGTGGCTTAAATATTTGTTATCATTTTTTGATGTCTTTCACCTGTCTTTTCAACAGGACTATGAGTTCTTTAAAGATATACATTATGTTGTAAAAACTTGAACTCTGAGTTGATAACACCCTATTATTTCCTATCTCCATCTGACTTTTCTATCCTTTGCTTTTCAATGTTAGAGCTAGAAATCTACAAATATGTTTTCTAGCATGTTTTTCCAACTGACTTCAGGCTAAATTCTGATAATGGGAGATAGTTAAAGGAATATTAGAAATGTGGGGAGAGGGTAGGCACACTTTCTTCTTGTTTTTGGATTGTGTGAACATTATTCCAGCATCAGCAAAACGCTACTGCTGTCTTGCAACATTCTTAGTATCAGCTATGTGTGAAACATCAGAGATTAGGTGAACAGCTACATGATACGCTTTCAGTTATCCTAGCACTGACCACATTATGCTCTCTCAGAACATCAACCACTCCCTTAGAGCTCCAAGCCCCACCTATGTGGTGCTCCTCTTAAAGCTGAAGAAGCATGTAGTGTGTAGCACCATGTCACATGTGTCTGTCTGGTAGCATCATGTTAGATTCTGATAACAGTACTCCTTTCTCTATGTTCCTCCAGTCTTAGGTATAGCAGCTTCTTCCTATAGTTGGTAATATCTGGGTTACCTCACTATTCTCTTTCTCTTTTTTCAGCTTTCTAATACTTTTATAGCCAATCCCCTGCAGTAAATTCCTTCTATTTGAGATACCGAGAAAGGTTTCTGTTTTTCTGCCTGGATGCAGATTGATATGAAATTCCCCTCTACCCTTAACTGTCTCAGTACCTTTTATTTTGATCCAAAGAGTAATCAGTAAATGGTTGATGCATGTAGTAAATAAAGTAATTGCAACAGAAGATGAACATATTTAGAATGTGCTAATTACTAAATATCTTGCCTGAATCATTTTTATATTTCTACTTAATAATATAAATATAAAAATGAATCGGAGAAGATATTTAGTAATTAGCACATTCTGAATATGTTAATATGCCTTGGAAATCCTCCTGTAGCAGTCCATCCCTGTTATTTTACAGAGACATAGAACTTGACCAATTGTATGTATGGTAATATAATTAAGTGAATTCTGAATAATCATTTCATTTTCCCCATTTAACAAAACAAAACCCCACATGTACCAGGAAAAAACCTGCACTAAACACACTTATGTTGTGTGTGTGTGTGTGTGTGTGTGTGTGTGAGGTATCAATAGATAAATGCAAAATAGTGGAATTCCTAAATCTAAGGAGCTATACAACTGAGATACTAGTAAATAATACCAACTTCTGTAAGTGTACTGCATTAGTCTTAAAGGGCTACCGCAAGAGAATGTCTCATGATAAAATAAAACGTGGACAGTTACACATTTTCATGGCCCAACGGAAGTCCCTAAGGGTGCAAATGGTTTGCGCTTGACTGCTAACTTAAAGACTGACAATTACATTCACCCAGTGATACCATGGGAGCTCTGGTAGCATAGTGGCTAAGACACTTGCCTGCTAACCAGACGGCTGGCGGTTCAAACCCACCAGCCACTCTTCGGAAGGAAGGTTGGGCAATCCTACTTCCGTAGTGATACTACCTCGGAAACCCAAGGAGGGGTCGCTATGAGTCGGGTTTGACTCGACGGCACATAACAACAACAACAGTGATACCATGTGATAGGCCTGGTTATCTGTTTTCATTATGATCACAGCCAAGAAAACCCTATGGAACAGTTCTACTCTGTAACACACGGGGTCACCATGGGTCAGAATTGACTCTATGGCAGCTAGCAACAACAACAAAAAATGACCCAATTATCCTAAAAGCATAGTCCTTAAGGCATTTGCACTCCTATTTTTTTCCTCACTGGTGAGCTGTTTACATATCAGGAAAGAATGATATAAAATCCAGGAAGAAAATTGCTCAAATTAAAGAGCATAGCCAACAACAGTTCAAGGAAATGAGAATTCTCTCAGGAATATGTGGTTTTATGGAACAATTTCAATTTCATTGCTAACCACTGCCTGTTACAAAATAACTGAACTCACCTGCAGGCAAATCAGATGACATATCAGAGAAAGCTCTGCTCAACAACTCAACAAAATTCTGCCATCTGTCCAAGAGAAGGAAACACTAATTTTAAGACCAAACACATAACAATATTTGTCATCAATATCATTGTCCTAGAAGAATGTGTAATAAATCTTTAAGTTTATACCAAAAAGTTTATATTAAAGGAGGTTTTTGATAATTGTATCATTTTGGGTTCAATGTAGGAAACAAACTACTTCAGGTATTCCTAATAGAAAGGATTTTACTATAGGGAATTAAGTGCACACAAAATTATTGCAAGGGTTGGAGGGATGGAGGTTGGGGCTGCTGGCTCATATTCAAACCTCTGCAAATGTGGTCTAGACGTCAGGGACTTGCAGGCTTCTAGCTGGTGTCTCAGTCACCCCTAATCATGGTGACTGCTGTTGTTGTTGTTATGTGCTGTTGAGTCGGAACCAACTCACAGCGACCTCTCCTTGGGTTTCTGAGGTGTTATCACCACGGAAGTAGATTGTCCAACCTTCCTTCCAAGGAATGGCTGGTGGGTTTGAACCAGCAGCCTTCTGGTTAGCAATCAAATGCCTTAGGCATTACGCTACCAGAGCTCCTAATCATGGTGACTAGGCTGTACAAACACTAGAGTCTGCCAGAGTGAGGAGTCATTCTACCACTGCAAAATAAACGAATCAATGAAATTTCCCCTTGCCACCTCTGCCTTCCAAATCTCATTCAATTGCATCTCATTGGTAAAACTTAAACGGATTCCAGAACCTCAAAACCAAAGAAAGTCTGGGAAATGTACTGTCTTCATTTGGGAATAAAATGATTGGTCCTTTCTGACGTTTTATTTTTCCCAAATAAAATATAGCATATCCTTTATATATTTATATAACTTATATTAGCAAAAGGCAGTTTCTATTGTAAGTGATAGGAATTTTTTCTTCTTCCTACTCATCAAAAATCAAGCAAAAATAAAGAGCAAGTTGTAGATTATATTGTGGGTTTTCTAGGAGAGTTCCACTTTCATATGACTTTTTTTATTTTAGCTTGCCAAGTATGGGAAATATTCCATCACAGAAAAGAACATAGAAAGAGGCAGACAGTAGCATTGGACAATATTTAGTAATATGACTGTGCAATTGTGGGAGTAGTAGTAGTATCAGAAGTAGTATCAGAAGTAGTAGTAGTAGTATCAGAACCAATCAACTTTAGCAGGGACAATGAGGTGGAGGTAAGACATTCTTCCACTCTTCAACCTTTTGCCAATTCTGATACCAGCTATTCCTTCCACAGCACTCTCTATTTTTCGTCTGAGTTTGATAACTATTGCAATGGCCACACAGAACTCTCAGATCATACTTAAAATTAAGTTGTTTACTAAGGAAGTAAGACGTACAACTGGAGATTAGAACCAACAAGCTACAGTTCAAGATTAGAATCAGGAAGCTGGCAGACAAAGCCTGGAAGTCTCCCCTAAAGAAGAGAGCAAATCCCTCCCTTGTTCAGTGCAGGACAGCTCTCTCAGCTCCTCTCTGCCTTTCAAGCAAGCAGGCCCTTCTCTCTCTGCCGTACATGCCCCCTCTCAGCTATAGAGACCTCCTCTAGTTCCCTAAGAACAGATTTCCTTTTGGCCCCCTGAGGATAGCCACCTCTTGGCCAAGCAGACTGTCACCACCAACTCTACCACAAGGCCTCTTCTGGGCTTCTCGCTATCTTCAATATCACAGCCCTTGACCTGTGTTTCAACTCATTTAGAAGATTCTTTGCCTCATCTCTGCTTCTTTTTTCTTCTTGCTTCCTTCTGCTTCTGTCTGCCTACCTCTGTGGGGTTGACTGCATATATAAGAAAACTCTTTATCAATTTTAAGGCATGACCCTCCCACCAGGACCAAAACTGACCAGTCCCTCTAGGTAGGCCACAGACACTTCATTTGCATAAGAGGTTATAGTCATTTCATTTGCATAAGTATATTGACCAATCCCTGCAAGATGCATACTAATCACAGAGCATGCTGTAGGCCAGGGCCAAAATGTACTAAATCATAAATTGTTTACAGCTTACCTAGGAAACATCAACCAACCTGGACAAAAGTAACAAACCATCTAGGGTAGAAAACTAGGGCAAAAGTAACCCCTTAGGGTTTAGGGGAAAAAATCTTTCAAGTTGTTTTTCTAAGCTTTGTTCCAAAGAACAAAGCAAAAGGAATTTATTTCACCACAGTGACCCAGCATAAATTGCAGTGGGCAGTACATTTACATGTGAAAATCAGGAAGTTCTTTAAAGCAGAAAAACACCTTGGCACAGCTTCAATAATGGAAATCAGTTATTTTTGTCCAGCATACATCCTCCATTCTCCTGGTGATAAATCAGTTGTTGAGTCAATTCCAACTCATGATGACCCCATGTGTCAGAGTAGAACTGTGCTCCATAGGGTTTAAAATGGCTGATTTTTTGAAAGTAGATCAATCACAAAGCCTTTTTTCTGAGGTGACTCTAAGTGGACTCAAACTTCTAACATTTTGGTTAGCAGCTGAGCCAATTAAGCATTTGCATCACCCAGGAGTCCTCTTCTACTAATAGCATACTAGTTTCCTTTTTGCTACTTTGTAGGTGGACTATAATCAAAGTTGTATACCCTTCACTAGCCAAACTTGTGACCTACCTTGTCTGATCTCTCTTCCTCTGTCTATTTCCTTCTCTGCCTTTCTCATTAATTTTTTGTTCTCACCTTTTCTGAAGTTTTATTTTCCCCAAATAAAATGTCATATTCTTTCACAACATATATCTATTTTTGCTTATATTAACCAAAGACAGTTTCTATGCTAGCAATAAAATTAGAAGTGATAAGAATTGTTTTCTTTTTCCTACCCATCAAAAATCAAGAACAAGTTAGGAATGCATTCTGGCTTTTCTAGAGGAGTTCTACTTTCATGTGACTTTATTATCTTTAATAAAAGTGATTCATTAAATACATTTGTTTCACTTATACCTCATAAAACTTTTCCTAGACATGATTTCACAAGTCTGAAAAGTTTTTTGTTCAGTAAACATGCCCTAATTTGAAGTTTTTAAAACATGGTCCCCAGAGCTTCATGTCACTTTGCACTCACAAATAGATAAGGCATACAGGAGGGGACAGGGCCACAAATCAGATAAGCTGATGACTGTATGAAATGCTGTAGCTTTAAGCAGATAAGATAGAGTTGGAGACGTATCACTTTCAAGGAGAGTTGTTGTTGCCCTTTAGATGGCTCTGATTCATGGCGGCCTTCTGTATAACAACAAAATGATGCCCTGCCTTGTGCCATCTTGATGATTATTAGTGTGTTTGAATCCACTATTGTGGTTACTGTGTCAATTCATCTCATTGTTGTTTTCCCCATTTTTTCTGACCCTCTACTTCACCAAACATGATGTTCTTTTCCAGCAATTTATCTTTCCCAGTGATGTGTCCAAAGTAAGGGAGAGTCTTGCTATCTTTGTTTCAAAGGAAAATTTTGGTTGTATTTCTTCTAAGAGTGATTTGTTCATTCTTCTGGCAGATCATGGTATATTTTGTATTTTTGCCAATACCACAGTTCCAGCTAATTAATTCTTCTGCCTATTTTTCATTGTCTAGCTTTTGTATGCCTTTTTTTTTTTTTTTTGGTATGCAAAAGCTATTGGAAAGACAATGGCTTGGGTAAGGCACATCTTAGTCATCGAAGTGATATCTTTACTTTTTAAAACTTTAGAGATCATTTGCATCGTATTTAATCAGTGTAATCCATTATTTGATTTCTTGATTGCTACTTCCACGGATATTGATTGTTGATTCAAGTAAAATGAAATCATTGACAACTTCAACCTTTTTCTCTTTTATCAACATAATGTTGCCAGTCCACAAGGAGTATTGATAATCATATAAATATCTTATACTGGCACAAATCTAGAAATGAACTGCAGTAGAATATTTTCTGGTCTTCCACACTTCCTGCACTTTATTTTCAGGGCCTTTTAGAAAGCATATGACTAGAACATTTTCTGATTCTTTGATTTTCAAAAACAAAACAAAAATAACAAGAACTCAGACCCATTGGTATGTATTCATCACATACGATTTATTTTTCAGAGCACAGTTAAGAGTTATATGGGATATAACAATGAGAGAAAGGCCCTGAAAAAATGTCATCAGAAACTCTCCTGTCCCTTTTTGAGTATATGCTAATAGTGCAGAAGGAGACTATGGAAAAATGTTGAACTGGGGCATTACCTAATTTGAATAGTGTGTAGAACTTATGTGACCAATAAAATCCTTCTAGTAAAAGGTTGTTTTTCTCCCATATTCTGTTATATTACCTTAGAACATCCAAAGAATCATGACAGGTTAAATGTTGGAATAGGTTCTAGTTGCCATAATCAAACCAAAATCTAAACTCACTACCATTGAGTTGATTCTGATTCACAGCAACTCTCATTGGGTTTCCAAGGCTGTAAATATTTATGTAAGCAGGTTGCCTCATCTTTCTCCTGCAGAGCAGCTGGTGGGTTTGAATCACTAACCTTCTGGTTAGCAGCCAAATCCCTTACCCAGAATGCCACCAGAGCTCCTTAGATGCTGTAACAGGCACTGTAATTCTAACAAGAAAAAAAAATGGATTCTAAACTCTTAAAGTCAAGTTGTAGTCAGGACTAGAAGATAAGATTTATGACTTTGATCCAGACTCAAGTAAATCTCAGTTCAAATTTAAACTCAGTTGAATTTATCTAGTTAAAATATCTTTAGTGAGTTTTCTGAGTACTTTATGTACAGTCATTATCTCATTTAATGGAGATAATCATCCTATGAGAAATATAAGTGACTTGCCCAAGGACACACATGTCAACGAAGCAGTCAAGATTCAGTCACTGGTTGTCTGAGTTCAAATCCTGCACTCATAACCATTATGCTCTGTGGTCTTACACATGAATGTAATTTGGCTTCAGTTACATTTTCTCTCCTTTGAAATCCCACGGACTCGGCGCTAGTGTCTTCTGACACTTATTATTGCAGAAGTCTGATGTCAGTCTGAGTTTTGTTC